AATAGTAAAATCCAATCTAATCCAATCAATTGGATCAACTCGATCTAATCCAAATCAGATTTTTAATTTGTGAATTTGAATTGGATTAAGACATCGACTCAATCTAATCTAAATGAGTTTGTGAACGCATCCTATATTAACTATATTAACTATATCTACTATATTAACTATGTTAGACATATTAAATATGTTTGACATTATTGACATTTGTATTTCATTACACAATTGTAGATTTATGATCATTATGATCGTCATCTGGTCACACCACAGAACATTAAAGACAGTAACTAGGTAACAATATACTTATAACTAGGTAACAGTTTACTTACAACTAGATAACATTATAGTGGAACTAGATAACACTCTTATAAGAGTATTATCCAGTTATAATAATTTATTTAAAATTGTTTAATAAAAAAAATATATATTTTTGATTGATTAAAATTAAAAATAAAATTTGATTTATTTTATTAAAAATTTTTACTTCAAATGTTTTATTTGATTGATTATTCCTTGATTCTTAAAAAATTATAATTATAATAATCAATAATTTTCTATTATTTTTATTTGTAAAAAAAAATAAAAATTATTTATTCTACTTTGATATCATTAAAATTCTTTCAATAAATTTTAACTATAACATTTTTTAATTTATCAGATAAATGATGAATATAATAATGTTACTTTTATTTAAGATAATACGAAACTATGATCTGTAAAAGTTTATTTATCAACTTTGCTTTCTCTTTATTTTTTATCAACTTTAAATCCTTCTAGATAGGATTTTCTAATTAATAATATGTATATAATGATAGGTTTTGAATTCTTTTTCAAAAGAAATATTTTTTTTCAAATTTTTCTAAATCAAAGTTAGTAAAAACTTCATAAAGTTAGCATTTATAAATGATCAAATTATACTCACCTATTTATAGAAAAAATTAATGTTATTCACTTTATTATTATAAGAAATCAATGAAATAATCTCTTTATCAGGCTTTTATTGAAATTATTGTCTTAGCAATTGTTGATAGAAATACTAAAATTTTTTTATTATATTAGAAAAATTTTTTTTTAAATTATCTATCCATCATATGGTTAGGTTATAAGTAATCAAAGTGGTGATAATCATAAAAAAATTTTGTTTTTTAATATTTTATAAGATTTTGATATATAATTTACCTTTTTTATTAAGTTTCAAAAAATTTTAATATAAATTTTTTTAAGTTAAAAATTAATTTGCTTTTCAAATTGCTTTATACAAATTACAAAAAAAAACAAATATTACTTTATATGCTAAATTATGATTTTTTTTTAGTAATATTTTAAGTAATCCAAAAATTTTTTCTCTAAATTCAGAATATTTATCGTTTCATAAGTTATCAGAAAAAATCCATTAATCATACAAAAATTTGGTCCCATAATGATTCGAAGTTGATCCTAAGTATTCGCCAATGACGTACTTGTTTCGACATAAATTAGAGTTGTCCTTGGATCCAGTCAATATCTTTACTATAACGATAAAAATTCATATTAAATTAAGATAGCATTAAATGACACGTGTTAGAAAACAAGGTTCGTTGCTTCATCAAAAGTTACAAAAAGTCAGGTATTATTTTTAGAACATACCAAACGTCAAGAAAGTCTTCAAAAAGTCGAGTTTCTCAGGCGTTGAAACAAAAATCAAGATCACCTTATTTATTATCATCAGGATTTCAAAAGAGCGTCTTATAAATGTTTGTCGTAGTCAATTTTGATTTTTTATTAGATAAGGTAAAATTTTTTTTTTTTTTTGCCAGAGACGAAAGAAAATACAAAACGGTTCTCTTATTCTTTTACGTTATAAATCTTTGTTGCTTATCAAAATTTCTAAGTCTGAAGTATCAAACTTTATCACGAGTCACATAATATCAGCATTTATCTATATATATTTATTCCTGTTCAAATCACAAATTTTTGTAATTTTTGCGCATAGGATTCACCAATTTCGATATTAATGGACAAGCCATGCGCCGTAATATTTGTATCAAGCTTTGTTTACATCGTGTTTCTTGACATAATCAAAGGAGTCTTCACCAAAATCATTTTGTATCAACCTTGAGGATCTGTCTTTAGCATTTTCACTGGAAATGGTTGTTTCTTATTGCAAGACATTTGTTCTTGGGCTTGGACGGAGGAGTTAATCCATTCGCATTTTGCTCATGGACTTTTCACGGTGACGGACTTGAGAATTCACAGGTCTTGGTGAAGTCCTCGTCATCAAATTTCTGGTTTGGGACACTTTGTATTCCGCATAGCATCATCAGCATCAGGATCTGGAGGAGCGATGTCCGGGCTCTCACTTGTATTTTTATTGAAATTACATTATTCGATTCGAGAGGTGGATCTGCTGCGACAAAGGAATTCGTCAAACTTGAAAAACAGTCGAGAGATCACGGGTATGTTTCATTTTATGTTAATCTGTTATCTCCCTAGATCACGTTCTTTGATTTGCTTATAACATAGTTAGATTTGCTTGATTCATTAAAAACATTACAAATAAACTAACGCGCGAATTAAAATGTCTGATCAATTAGACGCAATGACTCTTCCCTATATGAAACGTGCAAAACACCTTAGGAAGAGATTGTATGAACTATGCGATCAGTCAATTTTGCGACCATTAATGATGAATTCAATTGTGAAGGTATGAAATTAATTACGCAACGATAAGAACCCTCGGTTTTCTGGGAGTCATATATAACTGTCACCTGAATATATAGATTTTGATGCCATAACAGAATCTCGTTTGTTAAAGAAATGTCACAAGTATGTTTGTGGTGATGTTCAAACAGGATTATTTTACTTTAGCGGAAACTGATGAAATATTATAAAAGGGCATGGCGTTAATACACCCGATATAGTTGAAGAACTCTAGCTTATATTAATAGTTTTATATATGATGGTTAAGATTTTACATAAAAACCGACTTTCAATATGAATAATCGTTGTAGCAGATTGGTAAGATCTCTTTGATCATAATGTTATTCTCAATAATATAACTTGTATCTTGATGTTGTGTAGGATGAGATGACTCCAAATCCATTGTGTACAGAAATGCCAAAAGGCTGGCATAGTACACATTTATGGATGACTATCGATATATCTTTTCGGATATTCCATGTACCTTTCAAATTTTTTTTCCTTTTTTTCAGTTTTGTGAAAAGGCAGGCATGTTTAGCCTCGAAATGATTAGGAACATTAAATAATTCCGAAAGTAACCATATAAATATTCGCACCTTAGGACCTAGGAGAGTTTAATTACAAAAGGAGTTTTATTTTCGGACGAAATATTATTAGCCAGATAATGGATCATTCGAGTTGTTGGTTGTGATTTCATATCTTATGTCAGTGGATTGTTATATTGTTGACATTAAAACACGATTTTTTTTTTTTACTGAAAGTCCCGGTCATAATAAAGTGATTGCAGTTACACCTTGGAAAAAAATATTCGAAAGGGTGAATTAATACTATTTAAATTCCTAAATCCAGTAAATAAATTTAATATTATCATTTTCATTAATTTTAAGGAATTCCAAATTACAATCAATTATTGTTTATTGATTAATAAATGTCTACCCTAACCCCCACGTATTATATTAAATAATAATCCCGATCTTTTCGAGCATATGATCTTACAGGAAGTTTGGGATCGATTATTCAATATTCGTGTTTTTAGTCATGATTCCTATACGGTGAATTAATTCACCAATTACTTTTTCAAACTGTATATTGTCTTTAATATTACGATTGAACCATTTGTCCTAATCGCTTGTTTCATCAATAGATTAGATTCTTGGCACTAAGCTTTCAAGCTAAACCTGATAAATTTAAATTTCATAGATATTAGTAATTTAATAGAAGTAATATATATTTTTCTTATCCATCATTAATATCTTGTTTTTTTCATAGAAAAGAATTTCGTACTTCATTAAAATTAATGAAATTTTTGTAAATTCTGATTATATAAATAATCAATACAATACATACCAAGTGTTTATTGTCACTAAAAAATATGACGATTACCGATTTTATTTTACTTACTGAATAAATCATGTGATTGAAATATTACTAAAAAAAAAAAAAAAAGAATCTTGCTCCTTATAAGGATCGAACTTATGACCTTCGCGTAACGGAGACCTTGAGTTAGGTCTTATTAGCACGACGCTCTAACCAACTGAGCTAAAGGAGCTGGAATGGTTATTTGAACTGAAATTATTAATTATTTGAATATTAAATTAAGCAAGAAGGTAATTTTTTTTTTTTTTTTTCCATGAGGCAACGAACAAAAAAATAATAGCTTTTTAAAAAGATGCACATCATCTTTGTATAATGGTTTATAAAATTTTTATTAACCTTTCAATTTATTAATACAAAAACTAACACATTTCTTAAATTTTCAACAAGGTAGAAATGAAAAATTTTTTTTTATAAAATTCATTTTTTGAATAATATAGTAATTGGGTTTTCACTGATGACGATTGGGATGTCTTCTCAATCCTTTATCTGACCACATTTTATGTGCCATTGCAAATATTCCACCACTTATAGCTCCAACAACAATTACAACCATAGGTAAAGCTTCCGGAGGCAAATTTTTTGCGGTTCTAACAATACGTTGATTAAATGGAACAAGTACTTGAGCCATTTTCTTTGATTCAAATATGTAAATATGTCGAAGTACTAAAAGATGAGGGTACCTAAAGATTACTAAAAATTGCTCGTTTAATTTTGAGAATTTCAAAATAATTACCACGATATAATGTTTTGATTGAGCAAAGCACGCGAATTGATATCAATCTGATTTTTATGAAAACTTGAATTATTATTATTATTTTATTTTTATTTTTATTATTATTATTTTTTTTTTTTTTAGAAAAAAGAAAAGAACGAACGTATAAATAATCAAATTTTTTTTTGCCATTTTGGAAAAACTTAATTAAAAAGCATAATACATCATAACGATGTCATGATAATTGTAATATTTACGTATTTTACGTTTTTTTTTAAATTCTCGTAACCTCATGTTTTTTTTTTGAAAATTTTTTTTTTGATTCTTCCCTGTGGCTGACAATTTTTGGATCCCCTCTAATCTCCCCCAGTTTAACGATAAATTTTTTAGGGCCTCTAGGGAGGGATTATCTTAGATTTTCTATTATAACAAAAAAAAAAAAAAAAATATAGATCATGACAAATAATATTTAAATAAAAAATCATACAGGTATTAAATATTATCATGTGAATATTCTTTCAAATACTTACTAGATATATATTAACTCTAGATTTAAATTTGAAACTTAAATTTCTTGATTGGGACAAGTGCTTATCACATGAAGAGATCTAAAAAGATTTAAAACTTTTGCCCAAGAAAAAACCCAAACTTTGTTTGTTTAAAACTTTGATGTCTTGAGCCGTATATCACACAATAAATTCTCAGAAATCACCTAATTCAAAAAACAACCCCTTATCATCACAAAAAATTTCATCACAAATCACAATAAACCATCAATGGGTTACAAAAAGTCAAGTTTTCCATAAAAAAAAATTTACAATGAAAAAAAAATCACATTTTTCTTTCTTTTACACAATGGCGTTTAAAAAAGTTACTTTGTTAATGATTTACATTTTTGGTTAACAAGAAATCTTCCTCCACAATTAGATCTGGTATCGTAAATTTACTACCCAAGATTTTGGTTTATTTCAATGAACGTATTAAAGGGTAAGGATCTTCGTAATTGATAAAACCTGCGATAACCCATATTTGGTTCATATTTTTCCCCTGAAAAAACGTTTATCAATACAGATTTACATTGGTAGATCTTTGCTTAAAAATCCATTCGTGAAACGTGAGACGAGATAAAATTCATTCAACTTGCTTCATGATCGACGTATGATTTTCAACATGAATTAATTAATTTAAAATTTGCTACGGGTTTTACCGACATATGCGAATAAACAAATATGTACACCAAAGATCTGATATCACATGATTCGATAAATCTACGCTTCTTAATGACAAATTGGCGTGTTTTAAAGTTTGAAAATTAAATTATCTCATTAGAGACTAATCTCTGATTTATTTATTTATTTTATTGACTTTGTTCAATAAAGAATCTTAAGTTACATAGGTGATATGTCTGAAGGTTTCCTACTAAATTAAAAAAATCATAATTCCCGTTCATCTTTTTTTTTTTAAACTATTATCTTCATTTTTTTTTTCATATATTTCTTCAACGATCTGTTTTTGTTTTTTTTTTTCTTGTTTTAAAAAAAAGTTTATCTTATCTTACATTAATTTTTTTTTTTGAAAACGAAAGTAAAAATTTAAACGAATAAAAAAGTTTTTTTTTTTTTTTTTTTTTTTAACACGCGATGATCTTATATGTTCAAAGTTGAGGTGTGAATAAAATGAGGTTTGGCTTGGTGAGTCATCCTCTATCATATCTACAAAATAAAATTTTTTTCTCTTTATTGGATATTCCCACAATCCTGATCTTAATCTAAACATATCTACAATAATCCACCATCTTAACACCTCAAATGATATCTTCGAAAAAAAATTTTTTTTTTTTACGTATTCAAGTAATTTCCATTAAGGGATCCGTTTATCTGATGATTTATTGGTGAATCGGGTCCCATGCGTTTAGAAGGATTTTGCATTATTTGCGCTGACGGATGAGGTGATGCGAGATGTATTCCTCCAAGAATTCCCATTGTGGGCTTGGGTTGAGTGATAATCGTTTGTTGCTGAAGGATTGTGGTAGAAGGTAAAACTGGCGCATTGCGGGTCATTTTATGTACAGATGCCTGATGATGTTGTTGCATCGTCGAAAGTGCGCGTTTGCGAGTCAATTTTGCGAAGTCTAATTATCGTTTAGATATAGTTACATTAATAACATTGATTAATAAAATAAAGTACCGTTGAGAATAATTAAATGAACTCACGTAAACCACAGGCATTGCAGAGGGTTCTGGCGCCATCCGGACCTCGACGCCATTCTGGAGTCTCGGATATATTACACGAATGACATCTTCCGGGAGGCGCAGCACGTTTCTAGAATATTTGACGATCAATTAGGGACGACGACGACAATAAAAAATAAATAAATAAAAAAAACTTACGCTCCGCTTTCGATATTTAGTGCGAGTGGCTGAAGGGCCAACCGTCGTCCTTTTGGTTCTGATTAGGTTTATTGTATCTTGGTCATTCTGTTCGTTAAATATAATAAAGATATTATTTATTTATTTTGGATACCTGAATGAACCTGGGCAATTTAACAGGACTTACCGATATGGTATGGCCAATTTCACTTTTAACCCCATTCAATATGCCTAAAATTTGATACGCCCTGTTGATCATTTCGGGAACCTGCTGTTCCAGGTTGACAACACTTGCAATGGGCGTTCCCGTGGGATTGGAGCCCCAGTGGCTAGCGTTGGGTGGATATGGTCCAAACTTACTCATTTGATTACGATATTCACTATATTGTGTTGCAAAATGACTAATTATAGTACAATATTCTGTGATCTAATATTGATAAAGGTGTTAACATAAACCTGTTTACGTTGTTTAATCTAGATCGGAAATTTATATCATCATTTACCTTTTGCATCTCTGCCAACGTTTTGTCCATATTCTGTGTTCCGCTAGCACTTTCTCCGTTATCTTTAACGTAAGTTCCATTGTTCTGAAGATATTCTGGAGCATAATTATTGCTTACAAATCGAACCGGAAGTTGTATTGGTTGTATCGGTTTCATTTCTATATTTTGATACATCGTTTTTTGAGGAGAGGAAGTGCTTGAGGAGGTGGATGATTGA